ATGCCGTATAAGTGGAATGTAGGTTTAATATGTCCCATACATAAAAAAGGAGACAAATTAGAGTGCCAGAACTACAGGGGCATCACACTACTAAACTGTTGTTATAAAATTCTGTCAAACATAATATATGATCGGATAAAACCATTTTATGAAGAACAGATAGGAGAGTATCAGTGTGGATTCAGGTGTCAAGGATCTACAATTGATCAAATTTTCCTAATGAAACAAATTATGGAAAAAAGCTATGAGTACAATGTAGACCTACACATTATATTTATCGATTTTAAACAAGCTTTTGATAGTATTGACAGAACGAAAATCTCAACGGCCCTGGCATTCCTAGGTGTACCAAAAAAACTGATCAATTTAATAAACATGACAATGAAGTTTTCTACGAGCAAAGTTTTGATACAAGGTGCAATATCGGAATCATTCCAAATAAATAGTGGTGTACGACAAGGGGATGCACTTTCCGCTTTAATCTTTAATATGGTTTTACACTATGCAATTAGAGACATTGGCAAAGGAGGCAACATTTTTGTCAGGTCTCATAAAATACTGGCATATGCAGATGATTTAGCAATCATTGGCAAAAATTACAATATAATGGCGCAGGTATTTAAAGAGCTAAAAGCAGAAGTAATAAAAGTTGGTATGCATATAAATGAAACAAAGACGAAATATCTTAAATTGTCAAGAAATGAGCGACGACGGCAACCTGAGAATATAAAAATTGACGAGTTGGAAATTCAGGGAATCGAAAAATTTAAATATCTTGGTGTTCTATTGTGCAATGATAATAGTATGCGAAATTGCATACAAGAGGGACTTCAGGCGGGTAACAGATGTTACTATGCACACAAAAAACTAATGAAGTCAAATCTGCTATCGAGAAAAACGAAATATAACGTTTACAAAACGCTCATTCGACCAGTAATAACATATGGCTGTGAGACGTGGTCCTTAACATCAAATGACGAAAACTATCTTCTCAGATTTGAAAGAAAAATATTACGACAAATATATGGACCAATTAGATTAAGCAATAATGAGTACAGAAGAAGACTTAACGATGAATTATATGCACTTACACAGAACGAAGACATAGTAAAGTTTATAAAATCCCAACGATTAAGATGGGCCGGACATGTCATAAGAATGCCCGAAAACAGAGATCAAATACAAATACTAAATGCAAGAACACTGCTAACAAGAGCAAGAGGACGACCAAGAAACAGATGGTTAGATGACATAGAATTCGATGCGAGAAAATTAGAAATTATAAACTGGAGGACGACTGCAAGAGATAGATCAAATTGGAGGGAAATAGTGAAGAAGGCTAAAGCTCATCAGGGGCTGTAACGCTATAAGAAGAAGAAGAAGGACAAAAAAAAAAACCAATCTACTTACTTGAAAATAAAATTGTAACACACATACTACATTATTTATATGTATATATATAAATACACATTACATACATATATATATATAAGTAATTTTAGAGGAAATAATATTGATTATCAAAATTTTATTCGAATGTTGCGCTTTTATTTAAAAAAGAAAATAATATGGTTGTAGATTTGTATACAATTGAAGCGGTAAGTGGACAAAGGGGTTAACTTACATGTGCATTGCAACACATTTTTACATTAACATATTGTAAAACTATTAATTTTTTTGTTACTTATCTCCTATGTGAACTGTCAATATCGTCTTCTATTAAGTTTCTATCTATAAGATGAATCACAGTTGAAAATATATGAAATTTAATGACGTTCTATCCGAAAAGCTCGATTTTCGTCAAAATGTTAGTTAACGCCTTTGTCCACTTACCTCTTCAATTATTATTGAAGCGCAATACTCATAATAAGTAAACACATACCGCTGCAATCCTGATATAACTCAAAATTTTCACATTTGAGTAAAACCAATTTTAAAATGTTATTGATGTAATGAAGGCAATACTTTATAATTAATGGTTAAAAAAAAGTATTCCTAATTGTTCTTGAGAAATGTGCTACTTTACAAGACCAGTTTTATTTTTTTCAATTAGAATTATAGAAATTAATTAAAATGTTTATTTTAAGTTAATTTTTTTTATAATATCTCATAAATTTAAATCAAATCATTTCAGTAAACAAAACTTATATAACTTTCAATTTTAATTTTATGCTTAAATAAAAAATTAAGAATTTTGTTTTTTTAATTTTTTTATTTTTAAAATAAACACACGCTTTAATTAATAACAAATGTTTACAGGTTTACAGACAATATTAAAATTATCCTTATCAGTAAGAAGGTTTTATAAACTACTATTAAAGTATTATACAATTTATATATGTACATAAATTTGCAAATAAATAAATTTTAATTCGTTTGTATTATATGTTATCTAACTAAACCAAACTATTAAAATTTGTATGCGTATATAGAATAAATAATCTTAGAATCTTTATGAAACTATAAGAAACTTAAAAGGGCCGTATTTTTATACATGCAAATTCAAATATTTAAAAACTATAGGATACAGTTTTAATTTAGGATAATATACACCGGAACCTGAACCTAATTTACAAGTGAGTGTTAAAAAAGAATAGTAAAATAAAGTTAATAAGCAGGTATAATTTTAGAGCGCTAACTAAATTCAATTAAGATTCTCTTTCCTGGGTATAATAACACTTCTATACCACAATAAATTTAAATAATTAAATTAAATAATAAAGGATTAAATTGGAATATATTGCTGTTTTCTTGAAATTTTTGAGGACAATGAAAGAATTCATAATTTTTTATTTAATAGACCATATTATTATATTTTGCCAGTAAATAAATTATATTTAAAATTATAAGATTATTTATTTTTGTTTACAAGACATTAAACTTGAATATTATTTTCTACCAATACTAATTGATTAAAAAATAAATATTTATATATGTATGTATGTTGGTAAAAATATCAAATTTCTTTTTCAAAATTAAGTAAATAGGTGTGACATTCATTCATTAATCTATTTCGAAGTGGTCGATCAGGGACATGAAATAAAAAAATTCGTTAACATATATACAATTCAAAAAATTTTTGCTTCAAATTGAGCAAAAAAGTTTTCAAGTAACTCTTCATTAGCCCAATTATATATGAACGGGCAAATACATACCTTGACATTAAATTTGCAAATATAATAGCAAATCTAGCGCTAGTAAAGCAATGTTTATACTATAGTTGAATACGCATATATTTAATATTGGAAGATATTACATGACATGCTAAGCCCATATGGCCTGAAAAACCATATTACCTTTCCATTTTTCCAAGCTTAACCGAAGACTTAGCCGAAGAATGCAAGCTAAAAAAAAATAATTTCCCAAAGAAGCGCTTGCTTTGCGCTCTCAAAATCTAATATCATATATTCGCATTCATATATTCGCAAATATAGGCAATATTTACGTTAATTCAATAAACAATGACGTGATTCATTTAGTGGAAGAGAAATGATAAAATTATATTAATCAATAACTATTATAATGAACGTTATTTATTAAACAAATGGAAATTGTTTATTAAATATCTGAGTAATATTTTAATTTTAACGCCTTGCCTCTGCCCACAATTTAATACATTGGGAATCATTACTTACGTCATTGTACAATATTTATCCAAGGAAAATACATGTTTCAACAAAAACAATTTCAACAAAAATAGGTGACATATTATACTTACATTACATTTATACATACATAAATAATTATAATTAACTAAATGAAAAACAACATTGTATGGTGATAAAATATTTCGATTCTTAGGTTTCCAAAGTTTATTGTTATTATATTACAAACTTATTTACAAATAATAAAATTAAGATAAATATCGCATGAAGTTGGGTGGGAAAAATTATAATTGCATGCTTACAAGTCACTGAATGATGTATAATTGATTTATTTCACATATTTAGGCAAAATTTTAATTGTTTTATTATAAAACGGAAATTTATCTATGTTGACAATAGCCCTCTATGTATTTTTTTTAAAAAGTTTTGAATTAAAACTTAAACTGCAGTAAATTAAATGTCAAGCATCATTAAATTTTACTACAACCACAAAATCATATACATTGTCCTTATCATAGAACCTCAAATGTACTTGGGAGAAAAATTTTTGCCTTACGTGCCTAACAATAATGGATAAATGTACATGCATGCTATATGTATGGGTAATAAATGTGCAGATAATTTAGTTTAGCACATTCTTGTTAGTTTCAGTGTATTATAAGCTAACCAATATGTTTTTAAAATATTTGGTAAAAAAAAAATCGTTTATTTGACATTCAATTGTTTTCAACTGCCAATACAATTGAAACTTTTTAAAGTTTTAAAAGTTTACTGTAGTTAAAAAACAGCGTCGCTCGCTTTACGTAAAAAACTCACAATTAAAATAAAACCATTTAATTAATTCGATAATTTAATTTTCTTTTTTTTTTTACATTGGAACTAATTTTTTCAATTAATAAATTTTAGTTTAGGCGCAAACCTGATATAATATTTTTTTGGAACCCCCGTATGGGTGATATTACTGCGTTTTTCTTTACAAAAATATCTTGGCCCCAACATTATGGAATTGTCGAATTGATGTTGAAACTATTAAGCATGTTTGAATATGTGTGTGTTATCTTTGATTACTAATTTAGTTAAAGTATGTATGTATATGCATACATGTACTTAGTTTCAGCAATAAATTTTTATGTCAGGTCATATAACTTTTAATAAATGTCAAATTGTATATCTAATTAGAGAATTTTATTCAATAAAATAATTAAATGACATTAATTAAAAAATGAAAGTAATAAACGGTAAATCACTGAAATTAAGAATTTAATGGCATTATGGTGTTAAAATATTTTATTTATTTTAATAAGTACAAAATTTTTTTTAGATTTATAATAAAATTTTTTACTTGAAATAAAACAATTTAATTACTTTAGGTTTATTTTTATAATTAATTTACAGATAATAATCATAAATAAAATATAAAGATACAAAATGGAATCAGGATATTCAAAAACATATGAAAATCTACCACGAAATCCAAGAGAGAAGGCCAATATATTTTCATTTTTATGTTTTGGGTAAGTTTTTGTATTAAATATAAATTTTTTAGTTAATTGGAATATGAAAGTTTTTCCAATTGTTCCAATGAGAGCTAAAAATTATAATATAATGTATGTGCCATAAATAATTATAATAGACAGTTAAAATTTTATTCATATTTTAAAATTTTTAAAGTTTAGTGCCTCTAGTACTTTACAAGTAAAGACTATATTTATGTAAATATTTTAAGAAACACATAATAGTATAAGACTCTCTCTTTGCAAAAACTACAAAATATATTATAAGATTTTTAAAGAAAATTTGTTTTATATTTAAGCAAATAATATTAAATTTTTCTTCTCATCGTTAAAGCTACACATTGCCAATTTTTTGGAAAGGACGAAAAAAAGATTTAGATGAAAAGGATTTATATAAAGCTTTAGATGAACACAAATCAGGTAATATATTTTATTTTTGTATTCTTATATTCTGTATTATAGAGCAGAAACAGAGACTGCTCAATAATATTTAATTTTCTATTTCACTAAATGTAAATGAGTGCTTTTTATTTTTATTATTTAATTTACAAAAAAAAAATAGTTAGCAAATTGAAAAGGCCATTAAATTACCTACAATAATATTAGAAAAATAATTTTTTTTGAATTGAAACGAACTTGGAGAATTTCAATATTTTTCGTATAATATTACGATCAAAATTTAAATTTTTCAGTATAGTAAAACTAAACACAAAAGGGTGAGAACAGCCTAATACTTAATATTTCGGAAAAAAATAAGTTGTCAAGATAATGAAAGAAAATCCAGGTAACAAATACCAAGAAGACTATATTTAAGTTCTTGACTTACATGACCCTTCCACTTTTATATAACAAATTAAATTATATAGCAGATATACGGGACTAAACCACAATAAACTTGGAAATTATAACCCATACTATTATTTGTATTAAAATATGTATGAGGTCTCAATTTCAGTTTAAGTATTTCATTTTGAATTTTGTTGAAATTTTTACTATTATGGTAAAATATTTTTTTCTGGCTTAATTGCCCGAATTAAAAATAATTTAAAAATTAAATTAAAAAATGAGTAAGCTGTTTTATGTTCGTTAAGTATCAAAATACTTAATTCGTATTAAGTACTAATTTTGATTGTAACTTTCCAATTTTACCTTAAGTATAATTAAAATAAATTTGGATCATAGATGACTTTAAAAAAAATTTTGCAAAATCATGTCATATTTAAAAATGATTGAAAACTAATTGTAACCATAATCAATAATTATTATTACTATTATTAGTCTTATTATTATATATATACAAGAATTACGGTATATATATATGGTATATATAAGTATTATGGTATATATACTAATTATGGTATATATATAAGTATACCATAAGCTTATTTCACATTCATAATAAAAATTATAACACAAATAAGATATTCAAAAATTATTAACGGTAACTTTTTAGGAAAATCAACAGGTGTCAATCTTATACACATATTTGCAAACGTAATACTAATAACAAACATAACATTAAAATATAAAATAATTTTGTTAATTAATAGAGTGATTTTTTTTTTGCTTTTGAGTTTTTCGTGTTTTTATTTTTGACACTTCACGCATGATTCGTTGCAGCTGTCAACGTCAAAACTTCAACTTGTAAAGAGCCCCTGTTAAAATTTTTATTTAAATAATTAATATTACATTTTCGTTTTGTCGTTCGGTCGACTATATTTTATTACTCGAAACTCTTAAATTATTTTTATTGATGGTAAATGAAAACTCTTGTTTATATAAATTGTTCGGTTATGAAATGCATCTTTGGAAAAGAATATTGAGTAGTGTGTGATATTAATTTTTGACTTTCGGTAACAAATAATTTACACTTTCGATAATGAATCACATAAATATTATACTTTGGAAAAATTTTTAAAAATAAATTTCTATAAATCAAATGTAAAAATAAAAGAACCCTGTACGATTACACTTATGTGACAATAGCTTTTTATACAATCATAATGCTTACCTAATTTAATTTCTAGCCAACAGCAGAGCAGCATACGTAGCGTTATGAACTCATACTCAGTCGAAATATTAGTTTGTCATTAAGCCGTAAAGAACATAATTAAATAATTCCCGTAAAATGATTTTTATAGAACATTAACTAAGTTTGCATTCTGTGTACAAATAATTTTCCCTCGTTACTCTATGTGCACAGTGTAGGGCCTATATTTTATGAAAGAATTAGAAAAATAAAATTACTGAAGTTTACGAAAGAATTTATAACCCCAATAATTTAAAAGTTTATTGTTCTAAAATAGAAATTTAACAATGTTCAAGGAATTCAAATACAGTTAATTTTACCATAATTACCATAATCATTTAAATCGTGAATTGTATAATTAATAAAAATTAAAGAATATCTGTTGAATAAATTAAATTGTATTATTTGATGATGAATTGCTTGTATTTTATAATTTTTGAGGGTAACACTATTTTAATTACCTTTATTTTAAGATTGTTTTAATACCTGATTACCTACATCTAATATTTACATATAAAAATATTTTCATTTAAGTTCGTGACCTATTGTTGACACCTGTTATCTTACTTTTAATAAAATAAAAAATCATTTTTCGTACATATAAATATAAAAAAAATATGACTATAGAATAGAAGTTTCACGTCTATAACTATGTATGTACATGCAAAATGGCGCGAAATAAAAATAAATCACGTAATAAGAAATTATGTATAATTAAAACCATTAAACAAAAATACGAAGGGTGATTAAATATAACGCTAAAATGACAATGCTTTATGAAAGATCCTAGACTTAATAAAATTAATTTAGAATTGATAAAAACATATTTTTAAAAATCATTAAATAAGTAGCCAATAATTATAAGGAAAAACGAAATTCATTGTCTAAGAACTAAGTGACTAGACTGTTAAATTCAAAAAGAAAAAATAAAATTATTAAATCGGAAATCCCGATTGTATTAAAATTTCCAAATACTGCAAAAACTTTGCATATATTTATCAATTCTGTAATAAACCCATTTTATTTGATTATATATTTTGCTTCTTCCAGAAATCCTTGGTGATAAACTGTCCAAAGCTTGGGAAAAACAATTAGATGAACAAATTAAATCTGGCAAGAAACCTAGTCTACTAAAAGCATGTCTAAATGTTTTTGGTTTAAAATTGATGGCATTAGGGATTGTTTTATTTTGTTTAGAGTTTGGTTTGAAGTAATTATCCTACCAATTTAAAATAAATCAAAGAAAAAAGGAAAATTTATTTTTTTTTATAATTTTTTGTTAGATTAACACAGCCATATCTACTAGGCCGCTTAATAGAATTTTATTCAAAAGGAACTACCGGTGACATGACAGATGCTTATATTTTTGCGGCAGCTGTGATAATAACATGTGCCCTAAGTGTTTTAATAATGCATCCTTTCATGTTTGGAACTTTACATTTGGGCATGAAAATTCGTTTAGCTATGTGCAGTGTTATATATAGAAAAGCATTACGTTTAAGTAAAACTGCACTTGGTGATACGACAGCCGGACAAGTAGTAAATTTATTATCAAATGATGTCGGTCGTTTAGATTTATCAATAATATTTGTACATTTCCTATGGATTGGACCACTAGAAGTTATTTTGATCACATATTTAATGTGGATAGAGGTTTGAATCATATACATTTTATTTTTTTTTTTTTGTATAGAATTAAAACTAATTTTGTTTTTATAGATTGATTATGGTGCTTTCACGGGAGTTGCTTTTATGTTAGCTTTTATACCATTACAGGCATATATGGGTAAAAAAACGTCAACACTCCGCTTAAAAACGGCTTTACGTACCGATGAGCGAGTTCGTCTTATGAATGAAATTATACAAGGAATTCAAGTAATTAAGATGTATACATGGGAGAAACCATTTGCTAAAATGGTTGAATATTGTAGAAGAAAAGAAATCAATTGTATAACGAAAACATCATATATTCGCGGTGTTTTATTATCTTTTATAATGTTTTTAACTAGAGTATCAATTTTCATGAGCTTAGCTACATATGCCTTACTTTACCGATGTATAGACGCACAAACTGCCTTTGTAATAACAGCATATTATAATATATTAAGACCAACGATGACTGTTTTTTTTCCACAAGGTATTGGGCAAATGGCTGAGACACTTGTTTCAATTAAACGTATACAAAAATTTCTTCAATATGATGAGACAGAAATTATACGACAAGAGAATTTTAAATCTGATAAATCTTTTAGTAATAATTCAACAGTAAATCAAACACAAACATCTAGTAATCATTCAACAGTAACTAATAATTCTGATGAAAATGCTGTACAAAGCCAATCAACAGATATAGTTGATATCGATAATGTTGCGATAAAAAATGGTCCAACTAAAAATGCTATTTTATCAGAAGCTGGAGTTGATATTAGTCACGTTAAAGCCAAATGGGATACGTTGTCCAATGAACTAACGTTAGATGATGTTAGTCTTAGGGTCCAACCTGGAACACTTGTTGCTATTATAGGACCAGTTGGAGCTGGAAAATCAAGGTAATATTTTTTCATAAAATTTTTGTATATATTTTAATTTTAAAAGTTGTAGTTTAATACAAACAATTCTTGGAGAATTACCAATTGACGATGGTAAAATTAATATCAATGGAACAATATCGTATGCTTCACAAGAACCATGGTTGTTTACTGGAACAGTACGGCAAAATATATTATTTGGTTTACCGATGGATCGTAAACGTTATAAAACTGTAGTAAAAAAATGTGCCTTAGAACGAGACTTTGAGTTGTTCCCGTATGGTGATAAAACAATTGTCGGTGAACGTGGAGCATCTTTATCTGGTGGACAAAAAGCTCGGATATCACTAGCAAGAGCAGTTTATAGGAGATGCTCAATTTATTTACTTGACGATCCTTTAAGTGCAGTCGATACCCATGTTGGTAGACATTTATTTGACGAATGCATGCGAGATTTTTTACGTGAAAATATAGTAATATTAGTAACACATCAATTGCAATTTATTCAACATGCTGATCAGATAGTTATCCTTGATCACGGAAAAGTAAAAGCAGTCGGCTCATATGATACTTTAAGGGAATCCGGTTTAGATTTTGCTGAACTTTTAGAAGCGCCCGAAGAAGAAGAGGTTAAAAGACGGATGTCAGTTTCAAAACTACGCCTGAGACAAAATAGTGAAACATCAATCAATTCGCTGGAAGAACCAGATCCAGAACATAATCAAATGCAGGTAGCTGAAATGCATCAAAAAGGAGGTATTGGTTTAAAACTCTATGGAAAATATTTTAAAGCTGGAGGTGGAATATTTTATGTTTCGTTTATGTTGTCTATATGTGTGTTAGCTCAAATATTCGCATCAGGCGGTGATTGGTTTTTATCTTATTGGTAAGTTCTTAATCGCATGTGTGATAGTTTTCATCAATATATTACAAACTCTCAACCTTTATCAGGGTTAAAGAAGCAGCTGGTCCTGCACAATTTTCACAACCTGGATATTTTGGAAGTGCAAACGATTCCCATGATGCTGTTAATAACATGTACAACGCTACTCTTGAAAACAATATAAAAAGTGCTCTAAATACAAGTCATTTCGATAACTCAACTGGTTATATCAACAAATTAGAATCAGAAGGAGTACTTCCAAAACTTCTAAAAGCACTTGGAAGTACAGAGGAAGATACAAATACAATTGCAGTGTATATATTTTCCGGAATAACAATTGGTACTATTTTAATAACATTGTTTCGAAGTTTTCTATTCTTTAACGTGGCAATGAAAGCTTCCACTAATTTACACAATCAAATGTTCAGAGGGATAACGAGAGCCACAATGTATTTCTTTAATACAAATCCATCAGGACGCATTTTAAACCGATTTTCCAAAGATATGGGCCAAGTAGACGAAATTTTACCTTCAGTTATGATAGACGTTATACAAATTTTTTTACAATTATTTGGCATTGTTATAGTTGTTGCTATTATTAATCCGTATTTTTTGATCCCAACAGTTTTAATGGGCTTAATTTTTTACCTATTACGTAATTTTTATTTAAAAACATCAAGAAACGTGAAACGTGTTGAAGCTATAACAAGATCTCCGATTTATTCACATTTAGCAGCAACACTTTCGGGGTTATCTACGATACGTTGCTTTAACGCACAGGAAGTATTAAAAAAAGAGTTTGATAATTATCAAGACATGCATAGTTCTGCATTTTTCATGTTTATTGCCACAAGTAGAGCATTCGGATTTTGGTTAGATTGCTTTTGTGTAATATATATCGCTATTGTAACTCTAAGCTTCTTTTTATTCGGTGGAAATGGGGGAAATGTTGGCCTGGCTATTACTCAGGCAATGGGTCTGACTGGAATGGTACAGTGGGGAATGAGGCAATCAGCGGAACTTGAAAATACAATGACATCTGTCGAACGAGTGGTTGAATATGAGTCAATTGATCCTGAACCACCTCTTGAATCCGACCCGGACAAAAAACCGCCACCAGATTGGCCTCAGGAAGCGCATATTAAATTTGATAACTTATCATTGAGATATTTTCCAGACGAAAAATCTGAATATGTTTTAAAATCTTTAGAATTCGAAATATTACCAAAAGAAAAAGTTGGTATAGTGGGAAGAACAGGAGCTGGTAAATCTTCGTTAATAAATGCATTATTTAGACTATCATACAACGACGGAAAAATTGAAATCGACGGGAGAGATACAAATCAATTAGGTTTACACGATTTAAGGAGTAAAATTTCAATTATACCACAAGAACCAGTATTATTTTCAGGAACAATGCGTTATAATTTAGATCCATTCAATGAATACTCTGATGAAAAGCTATGGGCAGCATTGGAGGAAGTATGCTAAACAAAAATTTAAAATTTGTGGTATTTTAATTAAATTGTATTTTAGGTAAAATTGAAACAAGCAGTTAGTGAATTACTACATGGTTTACAAAGTAAAATATCGGAGGGTGGTGCAAATTTTAGTGTTGGACAACGTCAATTAGTTTGTTTAGCTCGTGCTATATTAAGAGAAAATAAGATACTTGTTATGGATGAAGCAACTGCAAATGTTGATCCACAAACAGATTTCTTAATTCAAGCTACAATAAGAACTAAATTTGCCGATTGTACCGTATTAACTATTGCACATAGATTGCATACGGTGATGGATTCAGACAAAGTATTGGTTATGGATGCTGGTCACGTAGTGGAATTTGGACATCCTTATAAATTACTAACAGATTCTAAACCAAAAGTATTTTATGGTATGGTGCAACAAACTGGAAAATCTACTTTCGACACCCTGTTCAAAACTGCAGAAAAGGTAAAATTCATAAAATTTTAAATTTTTATCAAATTATTTTCTTATTTTGTTATTTCCTTTATAGGCATATAAGTCTAAAACCGAGTAAATTTTTGGAGTATACATTCCAATAAATAAACCCTAAAACGAATTTAGGCTAATAATGTTCAATTTAACAGTTTCATGAAACAAAATACTTAATGCCTGAATGTCTTAAAAACTGGAATCCTAATTCCAGTTATACTTAATTTGAAATAAAGACTTGAAATTATTATGTATGTGCATTAATATAAATATAGTTGTAAGTTTATTTTTGTTTCTATCAACAATAAATTCATTTTTGATATTTGTTTATTATGTACACAATTAATTTAAATTAAAGAACTGCAAATTCTTATTTTGTACGATTAAAAAAAAATTTTTTTTATATTAAAAAATTTATATTAGATCAAAAAGAGTATAAATAAATTTATTATACATTTTGTATGAACTTATTCAAAAATTAAATAATTATATAATAATAAATAAAAATTTCAAAATTTTAGTTAGTTGCATCACTAACTAATCTGTAAAATTTAACATAATAATAAAATATGTATAATTGTAAGTCATAAATTTTATTGTTACTTTTAAATTCGAAAGTTAAGAAATCTCTTATGTATTAATGTTAAATATTCATCAATTAGTGCTGTAGCTAGTTTAATAAAGGGTTTCAAAACTGGAAACCGTTGTAAAAAAATGTAAATAACAAAAAGATAACTTGACTTAAACGGTTTCTTTCATATTTATTTCCTATCATACCTATTCCAAAAATGAATTCAATACACACCTTTCACATAAGATGATAACACTAACACTAGTAAAACAGAACTGATTCTATGTTTTTTTTTACTGAAAAAATATTGAAAAAATGTGTACTTATTCCAGTAATGGAAATAAATTTTCAGTAGAGAAAGGTAAGAAAACTATTGTAAAAATTAAACTGATATTTTGATGAGCTTTAAATGTTAATTTTGTATAAAATCATACAAATTATATTATTATAATACAATGTGTATAAAACAAATTTATGTATTTAAGAAAAAAATTAATAAAAATATTATTTTTTATAAGAATTTTGATCTTATGAATTATTTTTTAAATAGGAATTAATTAAAAAACAAAGTTTCCTGTAGGTAGGTACTTTTCTGAATTTTCCGATTTGGGATTTCTTTGCAGTTTTAATTGCTTTAAAATTCTCATATGATATTGTCTTAATATTTCAGATTATTTAATTTAAAACGTTAAGAAACTTAGTCTAACAAATATGTATACTTCCTACATTTTTTCTACAAAATTATAAGGTTTGGGTAGAACCGTATTTACATAATATTGCATGTATGTAATGCATTCAAAGTTATGATTTTAAGTACCTATTTATAATAATTCTCGTAAGGTACACACATATACAATTATATATTTATTTTATTAAATTAAATATCTTTTATTAGACCAATAGGAAATCATTAAAAATGTAATGTGTATGTAAAAATTTGAACCATATACAATACAGAACTAAGAAAAACGTTTATTTACATATCAAATTAAAACATAATGAACGAAACTAAACTCGAATTAACATATTTTGTTTCCGTAATAATGTCTATATATGTATGAAAAAATACATTTTTTGAAATTATAAATAAGATTAAAATTTACATTATATATGTATATCTATTTAGAATAACAAACAGACTACGTGTAATTAATTGCTTTAAAATCGATATTTGAGTAATCATTCAGATCATCATTGAAAGCCATGCTAAAATTAAACAACAACCACCAATTGGAGCGACTTTACTAAATTGAGTTTTTCCTGTAAAGGCCTTGTAATAACATGGTCCACTAAACAATAAAGTACCAGCTATTATTAAACATCCAGTCTGAACGAAAAAAAATTAAAAAATAACAAAAAAAATTATTTCTACATATGTATGTACATAGGTACTTTTATTATTTACCAGTACTGGTTGCCTGCACATTGGGACCGCCATTAAAGCGATTGAATGAAAAAAATGAAATCGATTTCCTACTTCGAACACGGCCTTTGATTCCCCTTTATCCTCATTATAGTGCCTGTGGCTTCCATATGCCCCCAATATAACGGCAGTGGCGCCACTTAAACCAGCTAAGCGAATCATATATAAATTTTTTCCTGCCAATTTCCATAAAGGCAGTGCTTTTGACATGGCTATATTAGTGGCTTCCTGTGTTTTTTTTGCTATAGTTTCAGTCGATGAAGAAATTATTCCCTAAAAAAAACAATATGCATATATATAAATATATAATATAATATATAAATTTCTTATGAAAACTTGCTCACAGCTTTTCTTGCTAAACCACCTGCTGCCGACAAAATATTCTGGCTAACGGGGTTTGAAACAAAAATATAATGTAAGCTATCGTTCACGTTATTCATTTCAATGATTTTCTTATGGTTCTTATGACAAGCAGTGATGTTTAAAAATAATTTTTCAAAAAATATGCAAAATATAATCAGCTAAGTGGTGGGTAATGTATGTGGTACGTATTGCAATGGCCGATTTTATTTTGGTAGTAAAATCAAATATCGAAACTTTCTTCTATAATCACTACAATTTTTTTTTGCGCTGGGTGTCTGAAATTTGATGGCTCATCCGAATCAAGGTGTTAGAATGGGTTCAAATCTTTACATAACAATAAAATATAATTCTGCGTTTCTCTCACCCGTGAATGAAATGAATAAGAAACTTTAAGTAACATTTTTCTTTTTGAGCCCCTATTATCGACTGCTTACATAAACATACTACTTTCATGATATTCAAATTATATCTTAGACTTTAGCATCGGGTGAATTTATTGCCAAACTTTTAAGCAAATGTTTTTAATAATTACGATGTGTATGACAATATGAAATTTGAGAAAACAAAAATCTGATGAAAGAAAGGATCCCGAAAAATTTTTAGAAGATTCATTTGACAACCTGATAATAATATAAAACAAGTTATATTTCACATTTTCATACTGGACGCTTGTTTTGTGCGTTAATCTGAATCAAAGCTTTATTAAAACTATTGAAACTAAATTCTATTATAACCACTAATTGTATCATGTTTTATTTCTTTTTTACCATCTTACTAAATATTTGCATCCATTTTTTGTATTGTGTGTACGCTTTGTTTATCCCTTTTTAGCGCATATAAAGAACAAGCTTTACATAATAATAGTTCTAACAAAAAAACACTTTACACGCCTCTGTTTGAAGTCACGTACGTTACGTCGCGTATTCCGTCAATTCTCCGTCAATTTAAATAAAAAATTTTAAAGTTATTGTGACAGCAAATGCACGTCGTACGTCATCATTAGGTTGGGCACTTAAAAAATTTAGGTAAAATAATTTCAAATTCCACAATAATTACTTATTCTGTCACTTTATTTGATTTGTTTACACCAGCTGTTATATGTAAAAAATTAATTTTAAAGTATATACTGTACGAGCAGATAGAGTGTGTCCTATAGACAAGGATCATGAAAATGAATATTATAAAAATTTTAGTCTAAAAAAGAGTCGGCTTTTATTTGCAAATACAACACTCATTATTATAATACACTCATGATGTATTTAGATTTTTATTCATTCCATGTAAATGTCTTCTAGACTCTTAGTTTTTTAAACGCACTCATCCAAATGCATCATCAGTGAACAAATCTAAACTATTACAGAAAATTGGTGCCCACTAGTGAACACAACAAAAAAACAGTGTACTTTTTTGTTGTGTTTACCAGTAAGCATTGGTAGTACCCTGAACCATGGTATAAATATACCATGCCCTGAACCCTGAACAAATGCAGTAAAAGTTCAAGATATGCTTTTTTATACAGCAACTTTACATAATATGCACATATTTCGGCGAACATACATATACAAAAATTTTAGAATTCCAAATATTAGTCCACTCCTTTTTTGAATACTTTTAAAGAAATTTTGAATAAATTCTTCAAAATCGTGTAAGTTCTATGTTACAATAATTTAATAAAGATTTTGAAAACCTCTTAAAAACAATTATGTAAAAATAAAAATTTGCATGTAGATAGTTTATACTAAATCAAATATTGTAAATTCCTTATATTTAAAATATTTATTATTATTCTTATACAATTAAACTTCGTAAATCATACATTTACATTACTCAAAAAGAAATTTACATTAAATAATCAACTAAAAATAAAAAGTATATTTATATTATACTAATTAAAAAATGCCAAATTTCAATTGAATTGCAAATTTATGTCTATTTTAAATTGTCAACAAACTCAATCGTATCAAAAAAGATTCAAAATGGTTTCAAGAAGTGAATTTAGATTATTAATTTCATGAATTCATTCTTTAATCTTGAATAAAATATGTATTATAAAATTAACAATATAAAATAAACGTTGAATTTTGTAACCAAAATTATTTATTGGTCAATTTAAAATGGTGTATGAGTTTTGTACTCTTAGGAATGAAATCTCAATTGTTACGTTTAAAAGAAATTATACCTCTTGCAAAGCATAAATTTTGAACCATTTTAAATCTCTGATTTTACATGTAAGCAACCATGTGTTTGGTATTTTAGTGTGTCACAAATAGCTAAGTTTTTCGGCGTTTTCAAACTTTTTTTTTTGTTTTCTTGAACTTAATTTTTTTTGTTAGCTAAGAATAAAATTCAATTGTGTTGCTATAATAATCTAAATCGTTCCCATTCATTCTATCTCTTTTTCTATTAAAAAAAATTATTTTATTTTCTTATAAAATGGAAACATAATATTTTATGAAATTTACTTCACTTTCTGTTTTCATTTTAAATATTAACTACTTCCATATACATTGCCTTTCATTTTTTTGTATCGACAGATTCATAGCGTGATTTCATCATACGTTTGATATATGATTTATAATCATCACCGGGTCCAAATTGTGAAACTTTGGATCCTAAACCTGCGGTAGAACTACGTCCATCTGCCTCTATTATATTTGTTCTACCTTGATTACTTTTTCCTAAACCTTGTCCTTCTTGCCATCCCATTTTCTGAAGCAAACGGTTACCAACATTATTTTCACTTATTGGCATCGCGCCTAATTGTGATTGTACACTAATACTAACTGACTCTAATTCTTTTTCAAATCTTTCTTTACTTCTATTAACTGGTGGAGGATCACTTTCACCAAATTTAAGACGCCTTTCTTTTGCTCTATCTCTATATTCTTGCGAAAAATTTGTTTCATTGTTGAGACTTTTGTTTAAGTTGTACTTTGCTAAGTTATCTTTATGCAGCTTTGACATTTTTAAGTGTTTGTTTAATATCTCTTGAGATTGAAATGCCCGTTTGCATAATAAACATGTCAATTTCTCATAATCAACATAATCTTTTTCACTAGAATATTCTGATGAATTATTTTGATGATTATTATGCTCTTCCTGTTCATCCGAATCAGAATTATATGTTTGGACAACTCGATTCGATAATTCTGTTTCGATAGTGCTATTTATTATAGGTTTTTCTTTTCCCTCGAGTATTGAAAAACCAACATCTGCATATTTACTTGATAATTGTTGTGATCGTTTAACATCAATAACGGGTGTTGCTACCGGTGCCGCTGCCGGAGTGGCTGATGACGTTGGAGCAAAATGTGTCATTTCTTTTTTTTGATTCAATTGTTTAGCCCATTTTTCCATATCTTTAACAATTTTTTTAGCTACTTTCACTTTATCGTGTTTCGCATCTTTTTTCAGTTCTTCTTTTGGCTTAATTTCGCTTTCGTTTGAACCACCTTAAATTGAAAAATTAAATTCATTTAAAATGAAATAATGAAAAAAATCAATAATAGAATGAGTTTTCTTTTGAAATGTTCAAAATGTACGAAAGTAACAAAACACGAGGAAAAAGATTCATTTGCGTGCGTCGTTATATGCAATAATAAAAATATTAATTTAAGATAATAAAATTGCGAACCTGTATTATTTAACTGTGTTGAAGCTGAAGCTTCCACTACTACACCAGAAGTTGTGGTTGAAACCGCAGCTTGAGAAGCAGTTGGTGCTACTACATATTTTCTCTGCTCTTGATCATAATACATATAGGATCCAGTTTCATTGTCATAATAATATTGCGAATGAGGGTCGTAGTATAATTTTGTCAGTGGATCATAATAATAACCTGAAGTTTCGTCGTATTGATAAGTTGTTATATCAGGCATTGGGTAAGTTTTATTGAAGTTTTTGCCAGTAGTTGAATTGCTTTTAACAGATTTTCCTAACTTTCTTTGAATGGCTGATAAAGCTACAGCAGCTCCTGAATTCGCCGATGTTTCACCTAACTGGTGCATAGTTGGCAAATTTCCATATTGACCTTTTGATATTTCTGCTATATAATAATTTGTGTAATATTTTATGTAATGTTCTTTTTCAGCAGCAGATGAAGCGTACATACTGGCACTATATTCAGCTAGACGTGGAACATCAGCTAAAGTATACTGATAAGTATTTGCAGTATATTTTGGAATAGGGTCTCTTGTTGATGATTTTGATGGTTTAGGTAATATTTGTTTATTTTCAGAATCAACGCAATACGTTACTAATACTTCACGATCATCTATATTTAAAGGTGGATCAAGTGTTTTTAGTGCGTTGTGTGTGTTCATTGAATCTATTAAATTATCAAAATACAAATAGCATATTCCTCGTGATGTTTGAGTAAGTGGATCACGACATATTAGTATTTTGGTTACTTTCGCTACTTGTTGAGGTATTTTTTCTTGCATCACAGTTGCAACGCTCTCTTCTGTTGTTAATACATCCAAATTGCGTAGCATAATTTTTTTGGTTAAAATATTGCTAACTTCATCACTACCTTCACCACCTTTTTCACTTTCTTCACGAGAAGCGTAGCATTTGAAACACAGTTCACGACGCCTAAAATTTAAGACTCCACATTTCACGCAATACCAGTCTGATAAAAACTTTTGATCCCTAATTAGAGGCTGACTATATTGCATTTTTGCTCTGCAGTTTGGAAGATCTAGGTAACCCTGCCTATAGCTCATCCAACGTATGGCCTCATCTTGTGTTGCGAAATCTACAAACGCAAAACCTCTTGGAACACCAGTTTTTTTCTTCCGTATAAGACGAATCGCTGATGGTGTCAAATGACATTGTAATAAATCACTCCTTATATCGCTTTCAGTTACTTGAAGTGAAAGGCCTCGTACTGAAAAGAGAAGCAAGAATAATTTTTGAGTTTTAAAAAAATTACCTATTATAAACTATTGAATTAAAAAATGGAGGATTCTTTAAATTATTAACAAAAAATTTTTACCCTAAATAGCACATATCAAATTAGTTTTTTTGAAATAAAGTGAAGCTTACTTATGATAATCCTTTGCGGTTGATTACTGTAAGAATTTTGTTGCTCATAGCCATCATTAGATTCATTGCTGTCACTGTGTGTTTCTTTATCTGGGGAGTTATGGCGTTTATTATTATAAGGTCTATTTGATCGCTCATAACTTCTGTCATCTTCTTTGGATCGCCTCCGTGTTCTCTCTCTTTCTCTGCTGCTTACGTAATTCTCATGATCTTGGCCGATAATTTCTCTATAAAGATCCCGATCATGATCATGACCCCTTCTAACGCGTTCTCTAGACCTTGATTTGCTGCGACTTCTACTACGACGTCTACGACGATCTCTATCTCCTCTATCATACCTATCTCGATCATACTTATCCCGATCAGAATACCCTCTATCTCTGCGGCCACGACTACTTGATCTTGAACGCGATTTTCTCCTCCTTTTATAATGCCGAGACTCCACACTTCTCGATCTGCGATCCATTTCCTTTAAATTTATATTAAAAATTCAAACTCTCAAAATATTTACAATTTCTATTGTTGTAAGATAAAATTTTAAATCATGAATAAAATAATAAAATACTTTAATATATATATTTCTCTACAATAGTATATGTAATTCAATTTTCTTTTCCTAAAGTAATGCTCAGCTCGCTTTTCGGCTATTCGATTTGCCATATATATGAATGACGTTAATAATGTCATTTAATAGGGTTGGCACTTTAGTTTTCCAATGCAAAAAATTTAAAAAACACACCAAAAAGTTCAAGATTTGACACCGACTTATAATTTCTAGTACTTTTACATAAATAAAACATCTTTCACATGTTTTGTATATAAAACATTAGTTTTCGATCATTCGTATCATCCATTTTCTTTTTTTTAAAAAAAAGTTTAATGTTTCTATGGGTTGATACGTTTATGTGCACGTTATAGGAGTGCGATTGCCCTTCAAAAAAAATATTGGATTCGAATTGCTCAATGTCGAAAAAACGTACATAAACGTACACGATATTATTGTTAATATTCAAAAATAACTTTTAGTGTGAATGTATGTAAGGTGGTAAAGAACAAATTTGAGATATATATAAGGAAAAGCTTACAATATGTATAAGGAAAAGCTTCTACACGCTGTAACTTTGTGCAGAAATTTATTCCTCCCTCCAAAAAGTTTATTTAACTTCAGTTATAGTAAGGAAATTTCTGAAATTGCAGAATCAATTTTATTATAAGTTAATATCATCAGTCTATCTTTTTTTTTCTCGATAATAAGATTCCTATCCACCCATTTTCCGCAAAAATATTTTACGATTTGGGAACTCATATGACATTTCATAATTTTAGTTAAATAACTGAACATTGGAAATAAGGCTAGTAGGACAAAAATAGAATTTTGTTTGTTTGTTGGCTGAAAACTCTGCGTTTTTTAAATGTCATCAAATCCTAAATGTCATTAATATTTTTGCATGTCAAAAATTGATTAGACAATAAACAAAAATATGTCAAAATAGATTATTTATATTTAACACATAATACATGTTTGCATTTAAAATTAAATAACGTTTTTTAAAAAAAAGCAAAAATTTCTTATGGCTTTAGTAAATTACAGTTCGAGTTCAGAGTCCGTAGAATCTTTTAATGATGAAGAAGAATCAAAATATAAAAAAGCAAAATTAAATACAGCCAAAAAATGCAAACGGAAATTACCTATTCCCGAATTCATGACAAAATCTCGAAAAACACAAGAAGAATCAGTAATCGATCGACCAGATGAACATGATGGTAGGAAAAGGACATTTGCACATGTTCGGGGGAACTGGGCTTCTCTTGTTTACATTGGAGGTAAACATAAAAAAATATTGATTCAACAAATTTATTTATATTTTCTTAGTAAATTCCGAATATGAAGATCTGCAAGAAACCATTCAAGATATGTTCAAAAGCATTAACTTTAAGTATTCTACTGAAATTCATATAAGCTTAACTAAAACTTTAGTATTGCATCATCACTGGATAACTTCCTTTTCACAAGCTGTGTTAGAATTTTCTAAAACCCAACCAATGTAAAAACAGACATATTTTCATTCTAGTTTGTAATTCTATGCTGCTTTTATTTATTTCCAGTTTTGAAATACGTTTTAACTCCTTAGGTATATATACTAACGAAGAGAAAACTAGAACTTTCATCGGTTTAACAGTTGATCTAACAGGTTCAACAAAAATAAAAGAACTCACAAACGGTATAGATAGTATACTAGAAGACTATCGTTTAGAGAAATTTTATTCGGTAAGATAAAAAGAATTGGTCACAAATAAATAAAAAGTTTCTTTTAAATTTCAGAAACCATTATTTCATGCTAGCATACTGTGGTGTGTTGGAAATCATAAAGAGTTTTTGGAAAACAAATCATATGAACTTCAACAGCTTTTTGACAAATGTTTCGAAATTGAGCCACAAAAATTTCTGGTTGTAATTGAAAAAATTCACATAAAAATTGGAAATAAGTATTATAATTGCAACCTAAAAAGATAATACATACTATATTTATGCATTTTTATACAATATACTAAGGATAACATAGTCGCAATATGTAATACATATTCTAATCATAATTAAAAATTATTGTAAGATATTTTGAATTTTTTTTTGTTAACACAAAAAATTTGTGTGAACTATTAAGTTGTCTATAAATTATTAATAATATTTGAGTTCCAAGATCTTGAAATTTACAGCCTAATTTCATTAGAATTATATGCTTAATTATAGTGTAGTAAAATTTTTATAAAAAATCCAATCAAATTTCATCACGAACTCTAAACAGATTATTGAAAAATATTGTTTATATGTAATAATGTAATAGTAAAACAAAAAGATATTTTATGTTAAATTAATTTTATTTTTTATTTGGGTTGTAAATTTGTTTGGAGTTTAAATACATATGTATATATACTTATATAACTGTGTTTTATTACATATATATATATATATATATTGTGTAACAAACTATATACGTACATATATATTTTGTCACATTATGTTAAATTTAATTGTTAAATTTAATTTTTTTTTATTAATGCTTTCTTATGATCAATTACAATAATATGCAATAAAATAAAAAAAATTAAATAAAACTTTATTGGCTTATTAAGAGATGCGAAAATGTAAATTATGGAATTTTGTATTAATTCAAGCCAACTAACATTTTCTTGTGCTTAAATAGATAATAATTTTTGATAAAAACGATTTTATTTTTATATAAAAATTAAGTAAATAAAACTTAAATTAAATGTGACTTGAAAGACGTACACAATTGAAATTGATTATTGTCAAGGTTTTTTTCCTATTATTAAAATATAAAAATTTAATAAAATAATTCTATAAAAATTTTTCTGTTTATTTAAATCTTAAAGTATGTCTATTAAAAAAAAATAAAGCAGTAAGGTGAAATATTTTATTTTTAAAACAAAAATATTGTTTTCTAAACGGTTTTTTTTATTATTTTTTAATTTTCATATAAAAAAACAAATTTATTGTAAGATGAACTAGATTTTGTGATTTTGTATTAGGAGGAAACAGAAAACTATATTTATTGTAGTCTTTTAAAAATAAATATATAGAATTTTATAGCATCTCTCTAATTCAATTTTCCTGTACATTATTGTTATTACTGATATTGATTTATATAAATCATTCTTATGTGTTATTTATTAATTTTCTTTTTATTTTAAATTTCCAATAATCTAAGTAGTTTAGTTCTTGTTTTAAAAAAGTTTCAATGTTTTAGTTTATATATTATTATGCGTTCATAATGTATTTAATAACAATATTGAATATAAGGATAAACTATCTAATAATTTGATTTCTTTTTTTATGTAATAATTTTTTTTTATAAATATATGCATAAACATAATATGTGAAAATTCCCTTTTTTTTAGTGTGTATTTTTATTAAGAAATTTTTTGACTTGATTTTGTTATTAACAAACATGGATTTTGTTTCGGTTAATTTTTAAAACGATTATTTAAATTAAAATTTGAAAAAAGAATATTAATTTTTAAAAGAATAATACATACTTAGTTAGTTTTGACAAAAATAATAGTTATTGTACCTAGAATATGGGTAAAGCATGCGGTTATAAAGCATAAAAAATTTAATTTATGCTCATTATTTACTAAATTTTATGAAAAATTAAATGAAAAAATATATATTGTTAATTTTAAAGGTATATTAATGAAATTCTTATGTCACATTCATAAATAAAAAATAAAAATTAAAAAAGAAAATTGTATTAATATTAAATAAACTAATTATTTTTTATGATATGAATGCAAAACGATAAAAGAAATTTAGAATATATAGAAATTTTGTTATGACTTTCTCTTTTCCATATCCATACTTTAATATTGTTAAAAATCTGCAGCAATCAATTTCGATTTCTCGATAAAAAAATAAATCAAAAATAATTTTTATCCTTATTAAACTGATTGGCACTTATATATTCGTATATATGATATACTTTTGAAAAAAAAAATAGTGTCTACAAATAAAAAAAAATTTTTACACATTTGCTTTTAGAAGCTTTAATTTAATTTTATATTTATTTATCTACAATAAAATTATTTTATGATTGCATATTGTATATACATACATGTATAATAAATTTAAAATTATCTGCAAATAAAGAAAATAAAATTCTTTTTTTATAATTTTATGGTTTTCTTTTTATAATATGTAATTTTACGATTTATTTTTAATTTTGTTGCAATTATATAAATATTTTGCTTTATTTTATGTGTATAATTGAAATTGATCAGAATTTTTGTTTTTTTTTTTTTTTTAAACTAAAACATCGAGACTAAAGTTTATAATTTATATATGTAGGTAATATTTTTTCATACTTTTTATTATTTAATTTTAAATTTTTAATATACACTTAAAAAGTAATGTTTCGCTATCACCGCTAAATCATATTTACGTTCATCTTAAATTACAATTACTAAAAATTATTTACAAATAAAGATTAAAAATTAGATAATATTTATATATAAAAAAAAAACAATAAAAATTCCTTTTTTTTTGTCTATTTTATTTTTGTAAATTTGCAAAAATCACGAACCAATGTTTATAAAAGAGGGAAAATGTAAAATATATAGATAAATAAGCAATTTTAATTTTGATGAGATTACACAAAATTACTTAAGTAGTTTTTTTTAAATAAATATGTAGGTACACCAATATAATACAAGTACAAAAAAATAAATATATTTATTTAAACAATTATCTAGACAATAGCTGCACAGTCGTTAAAGAGAAAGGTTTGTTATATAATAAAATATCTTTACAAAATTTCAATGAAGATAAATTAGCTTTAAAATTAGTTTGAAATTTTCTGATTTTCAATTGAAGTTTTTTATAAAATATTTACAAAATACATTCAATACTTTTGACACATACTATACAAAATGTAAATATTTATTGGTAAACATTGTCGACAAAATTCAATGTTTATTAACTATTGTTTTTGATTTTAATAATATTTAAAAAAATATTGTATTAAAATATAGAAAATTTTCAAGTTTTGAAGTTTTATGATTTTGGGAAATGGTAGTGGTAAATTGTTTCGTGCATACATACATAAATGAATTAAGTAGTATTAAATTATTTTTCTTTTGTTTTTTTTTTTATTTTACTCTAATTTACCTAGTGCATAACTAAATTTTTAAAAATTTAAATTTTCGGACTTTCATTGTTTTTTGTATAGCGTTTTGAAAATAAATTAAGTTGTATAAAATTTCTATAACAGAATAAAATTATTAATATAGTTCTAGAAATAGAATTAATAAAAACTACTAATAAAAAGAAAAATATTTTTTTTTATACATTTACAAAAATCTAAGAAAAATTATTATAAAGTAATATATAAAGACGGAAGGTGTACATTTTAAATCGTGGACATTTTTTATGTTTAAATAAATTTAAATTAAATAAAAATAAGAAAAATAACAAAATAAAAATTATAAGTTATATAACTTTTCAACATTTTAAACAGTTCAAATTTTAATTAATTCATTTTCACAATATTCTTAAAATTATAATTAATATGCATTATATTTTATGTATTATAATATAATGACATTCAAAAATTATTTGTTTTTTTTTTTTTAACATTAAGTGTATTATTATTAAATAATATAGTTTTTTGTATTATTATTTTTTGCTTTTATTTTTTTATGATTTTTTTTCCTTTTTTTAACTGGTAATAACTTTATTTCTAACTTTTTGCGTATTGTTGTTGTTCTTATCATCATTTTTATCATTTTCTGGACATAATAATTTATTGTTAGTGTCAATAACTTTATTATTATTATATGATAGCTTTCATGTTGTAGTATTTTTAAGCTGCAGTAATTTTACTTTTAATTCGGAAAATGTTGGCCTCTTCGAAGGATTTAAGTCCCATGCTTGTCTCATCATTTCATAGATTTCTGGTGGACAACCTTCTGGCGCTTCCATTTTATAACCAACTTCAACGTGCTTGACAACATCAGCAAGTGGCTAAAATTGTTAAAATTTATAATAAAGTTAGTGTAAAATTTAAAACAGAAAAATATTTTTAAATATTTAATAGAATAAAAAACTATATTACTAATTTGTTTTACATTAATTATTCTGAATTTTTTTAAAGAATTAAATATGTAGAAAAACTTACTATTCTAGGATATGGGACCCTTCCAAATGAATAAATTTCCCAAAGTAAAATTCCAAAACTCCACATGTCAGATTTATTTGAAAATCTCTACAAAAAAAAAAATTTTAATTAAGTACTAAAATATGTCTTTTAAAAAATAATAATATTAAAAATATGCATACATACACATGTATATATGTATATTTGTGAACGGGAAAAAGTAAAATAATACTTACACCCCCTTTTAAAGCTTCTGGTGCCGTCCATTTGATTGGTAGCTTCCCAACCTCTAGATTATAACATTCTTCCCTAGCTAAACCAAAATCTGAAACTTTAGCTACACAATTTTCAGAAATTAAAACATTTCTAGCTGCCAAATCCCTGTGAACAACTTTCTTAGCTTCTAAATATTCCATACCAGAACAAGTGTCACTAGATTAAAAAAAAAATTTATTCAAAATTTAAAAAGTTTCTATTTTCAAATATTTTATAATTACTAGGCAAAATTAATTTGATCTTTTTTAGTAATATGCTGCCGTCCTCTTGACCTTAAATAATCCACTAAAGATCCCTTACTCATATATTCTGTCACTAAATAAATGTGTTTTGTTGTAAATACTAAACCAATAAATTTTACGAGATTTTCGTGTTCTAATGTACTAAAAATTTTAAAAATATATTAAAAATGCTTTAGTTAGATTTCTTACAGTTAATTTCGTAGTAATTAAACTTACGTCATAACAGAAGCTTCTGCTAAAAATTTTTGTGCGGCTCCATCATCTTTTAACATTTTAACAGCAACTTTTTCATTTCTTAATATTCCAAGCATAACATCACCAAATTCACCTTTGCCTATGCTTTCCCTTAATTGCAAATCTGACTCGGGTATTACCCAACCTTTATCTGCAAATTCTTTTGAATTGATGCAAAATTCTTGTTTACCTTTTTTTGGCAGACATTTTATTAATTGCGTGCATAAACCATCAGCATCTTTTTCATAGTGCTGAATACAAAAAAAAATTAAAATAATTTCATTATAGTGTAAATTTACTTTACTAATGTAAATACTAATTTATTTCTATAATATACAGAAATGACTTACAGCTACCAATTGTCCGAGATTTTCAAAGTATTCTTCATCATCTATTGTTAATTTATTTTCTAAATATTTTACACGATAATGTTCAACTTTTCCTTGATAACAAACACATAACGTATAATCACCAGGGAAATTAGTCGATTCTCTTACTAAAAATAAACCATCTTCACGTGGCTGAAGCAAATGTTCAGCTTCATCTCTTGAGATACTTCCATGAAACCAGCTGTAAAACAACAAATATGTCATTATATTTTTTTATTTAAAATTGCGATACTAGTAGAAATTTTAAGCAAATAATTTTATTAATAGAGCAAATACAGAGTACAAATTGTAAAGACTGGCGTCATCTCCACATAGTGTTTTGTTCGAAAGAGCGAAATTTAAATAATTAAAACGGTGTAATAAATGTCTTTTGACGTGTATAATGCTCAAAGATTTCTTTTAGAAAAATCTCTATAAAAAAATAACAATATTTATATTAGGAAGTACTCGTAGTAACATAGAAGTTTAAATAATGAAAAGCTATAACTTGCCGAGAATTAATAAAATGATTCACTTACATATAAAGTATCCTAATATTCTAATAAAATTTGCGAAACTAATAACGCTTTAATATTTAATTTATTCGAATTCTATCAACGCTTTTTTAATAATTAAATTGATAACAGAAATTGTGAAGTTATCTTATCGTGATAATCAAATATTTTTTGTCTTTGATTTTAATTAAATTTTGGCCGCCTCATATTTTTTACATTTGATAAATGAATTATAGAAGAAATAATAACTTTAACATATATGAAAAATCAAAATTCTTAAAATATTACACTTACGGCATGGCATTTAGTTTGACTTCACATTTTTTATGAGCCTGCTGTGATCCACCGCTATTTCCATGTAAATGTGTATTTGACGATGTTGATGAGGCATTTGATATAGTAGGCGACAGTGATGACGTACTATTCCATGTACCACCACCACCGTTAGCTTCATATTGATGTAAGGATGATGACATAACATTAGACCCAATTGGTACATGAATTGATGAAGTTGGTGGTAATGATGGTGGTTGTTGTTGTTGTTGTTGTATGTTAATATTTGATGGAAGCATTCCTGGGAGTGGATGTTGTGGCTTTCCTGTACCACTATTTAAACTTTGTCCAACAACACCAACATTTGATGCATTTAAATGGCTTGGCAGTTGTGTTGTATTTAAAGATGTTGACATAATGTTATTATTAGAATTACTTAATAATTGAGACGTTTGACATGTAGAATTTGTTGTTTGCTGCTGTAATTGATGCGAAGATAAAAGATGATGTTGCTGTTGTTGTTGTTGTTGAAGAATTTGTTGTTGATTTGGAGATTTTGGTGTATGATTTGAAGATAATAAATTATGACTACTTAAAGCGTGCGAGGAAAGATGTATAGAGTTATGCTGATTCTAAAATTTTAAGTAAATTTATATTTAAAAAAAAATAAAAATTTGCATAAAAACATAAGTGTTTAAACATGTGAATACATACTATACTACTTTGATGTGGTGGTACTGTCGGTGGAACAATATGTGGTTGAGATTGACTATGTTGTTGCTGTTGTAATAAACCACTTCCAACAATTGGTATACCAAGCGTTGAATTATTTCCTCCGCTTATTGAATTAATTTGAGCCGCACTACCAGGTTGTGGTGCTGGACGTTTATTATGTCTAGCAGGTGCTGTCGGTGGCATTTGATGGCCTGTTGACTGTAAAAACCATGGATCACCAGAATTTGTTGCTGCTGCTACAGTTGGTTGAGAGAAACCCCTATGATGACCAACGACCGAGTTTTGTCCAGATGATTGTAAATTTAATGCTGTTGCTGTTGCAGCGTGACTATTCATAATAAAGCTGCCGTTTTTATGAATATAATTTTCGTTATTTCTGCAATTATATTTGCAGTTATTTATTATATTACAAGTTGTGTTGCTACAATTCTTATGGTTGTTATTTATAGAATTTTGACTTTTATTTTTAATATTGCTATTTTGATTGCTATCTGATACAATAAATTGTTTATGATGAAATTTAAATTGTTTGTGGTCCTTTGATTTGATTATTATTGCTCCTTCCTTTTTTATAATTGGTTCAAAATTTTGATTATAGCTACTATTGTTATCGTTGTTATTATTCGTATTAATATTGTTACTAACAATAGATTTACTATTTGATTGTAATGATATTTTCCTTAAATTATTTAATATTTTATCATGTGATAAATGCAACGATCTGTTTATTGATTTTCTAATTGAATTTGTTGAGAATATTGATATCAAAGGTTTATTTTCAATTGTTGAAGCTACAGCAATATTCTCAGACGAAACAAATGCTCGTCTGCATTTACTGAATTTAGGAATTTCTCCTTTTCCTCTTTGGTCGCTTACATCAGCATCTATAATATATAAAAATAATGACGTAAATAAAAATATACACTTATGTACACATAAATTATAAAAAATTATTATTTATATTATTTATTTTGTTGAAAGAATTATTTACAAATAGAAAAAGTAAGAATATAAGATCATGAATATTTCAATGCACTTTATGGGCAAAAAATTTAATATTGCACAAAACAATAACATTTACTTATATACACATGTATACATACATATATCAAAATTATTCTTGTGTGATTTTGTTTTCTAAAGAAATTTAAATTGAGAAAATTCAATTTAATTTTGAAAAGTTTACCTTCGAAAGCAGATAACAATTAAAAAATAGTACAATAAAAAAAAAACATTTAATTTAAATTTAATCGAATTGCAAATTTATGAAATATCAAATTGATGTTTTACTACATCTTTTAGGGATTGAATTATTTCGAAAGTTCCATAAGAATTGCTATAAAAATGGATTGTTAAAAAAAACACGCACCCAGCTTTTACTAAAAAATATTTTCAGGAAATTAATAAACATGTTAAAATTATTATACTTCTTATTACATTATTTTAAAATAGCCCTTCCAAAATATTTTAATTTGGCATCAGATTTTTATTTTTAGTTGCACTACCGATTTTCGATTTTGTTCAGCTTATAAAGTAAATTAAAAATAAATTTATAAAAATCTAAAAAATTTTTAAAAATTAAATGAAAATTCACTCATAAATTTTACAGTATTTATTTACGAAACCAATAAAATATTTTGTCTTATTAATTCATTAACTATCCTTTTGGAAATTATAATTAATACCTTTTTTTATTCAATTTTCTTTTTACTGTTTGATTTCTTAGAAAAATAATTAAAATTTTGTAAAAATATAAAGGTACATTACTTTTTTCATGTTTAATATTATCACGAAATCAATAAATATGTATATGTAAAAACCCACGGATTTAAAACAAGAACTATAAAAAACAATATACATACATACTATAACATATTATATATTTTCAAAAGTGTAAGTCAGAAATTTAAATTTGTTTCAAAAATTTTAATGTTTTATTAAAAAATTAGAATTTAAATTTAATTAAATTCATATTTTTTTTAATACAAAAAACATATTTTAAAATTGAACATCATGGATTAAAAAGAAACATGCTATTTAGCAAAAATAAACAACAAAAAATCAGGACCTTTACGAATATACGTTATAAAAACCTTTGCAAGAAAATTTGGTAATTCATATATTTCATTTACTAACAACAAATTTTTCTTTATAGCAATATTTTTTTGTTTTTAAATCCTTTTTACCTTTTAAATTTTCCGAGAATCTCGAATAAGTTTCTCTTAAAGTATTTCCCTTAAAAATTTAAATAGGATAAAATATTTAATTATTTTTAATAAAATTTCTTTTTCTTTAAGTATTTTAATTTGTAATTAAATTTATACATACTTCAAATATTCCAAATATTTGTTTCATTTTTAAAACATTTTCTTATAACTATTTTAAAATATAATAAATCTTATTTTTAAATCAGAAGAAATTAATTATTATTAAACATTTCATATATTTGGGAATGTGTAGCAAATACATATGTATATGTAGGGAAGTAAAATAAATTGCATAATTTTTTTATTCTCGATATTTGGTCTAGCACTATAACAAATACCGTAAACAAATACGATAAACAAATATGATAACAATAAGATACACCGATTAACAATAAACTGTGTTATTTATAAATGCTCACTTCAAACTGATTTCATTTAGGAAGGCTAGTTATAAAAAATAAAATTCGAACTAAGTTGACATGATTGGTCATTTAATGTTCTTCCGTTTTTTTTTTATTTTAAATGTTCTTCTTTTTTCATTATTTATATATATATATTATATATAAGTAAATGTATACTTTAACATTTTACGTTTTGATTACTCAGCACTAAATAACTAATATTCTATGTGTTAACTGTTTTTATTCTAATATGTGTAGTATTTTATGTTGTGTATATGTATATGCATGTTTCTTTTCTGCAACTGTCAACTTATAGTATTATTTCCACCCTTTTGTTATTTCGATTTTTTTTTTGTCTTCTATTTAAAATTACTTTATTTTTATTGTAAATTACTCAGAGGAGATTTTCTTTGAATACAATCAGTCATAAATTAGCTTTCCATATATATGGGGCTGCCAGATCATTTAGTTAATTCATTATAATTGGATGGTTTATTTTGAAAGTGATCTAAGTCTATTTCAAATAAAAATAAAATATTGTTGCTTTTGGATTTAAAGTAGCATAATTATACATAATTATGTTTATTTTACTTCCCAAAAACACAAGTTTCAATTTCAACAATTAACATTATCATTACTTTGGAAGTAAAAGAGTTTTAAAATTGACATAGGTGACTTCTAAAATCAACCATCCAATTGACAGTTACTTAAGATAAAAAAAAATAACTATTCATAGGATTAAAATAAAAATTAATTTAAAATTCTCATTTTTATTCGCGGTTGTCATTTCGAAAAAAATGAATGGCTGACTATTGAACAAAATGTGTAATATTTTGTTGAATTTTATTTTTGTACTTCTCTTATTTTGTCTGAGCTGAAAGCTTCATATTTTTTTGTAATTACTTTTATGTTATGTAACATGTTATATATGTGTGTACTTGTATTAATGATTTTACATTATTCATACTAAAAAATATAAATTAAAAGGACAAATATAAGTGAAGGCATAAGGCAGTTCTTCACCTGAAACCTTACATAAAGTGAAAAAAAAATCAATTTTTTACTTTAAATTTTTTTTTCCAATTTCTCTTCATTTTGTTGTCTATATACTTAGCTATAGTGCTATTATGTATATTGAAAGTTTATAATAAAACGAGAACATCATCATTGTTAAATTTTTTAATTATAAATCGTTGAATACACGTACACATTCTTTTCAATTACCTGTATACATGAATATTATTTATTAAAAATAAAAGTATAAAATAAAAACTCATAAGTGAGAAAACAAAAAGCGCTTATTTAAAAAGGGGTTGAAAAACTTTTTAGTCATTGTCTTTATCATTGAAAATTATACTTAGTTAAAAATATTAACACAAATAATATTAACACATATATAAAGAAAATACATATGTACATACGAATAGATCAAATAAAATTTATTTAAGGAAAATTTAAATTGGATCCTATTTGCATAAGGAAAACAATTAAAATCTCCTATACACAATTATCAATTATAACTAAATGGTATCGTCAAAAGAATCAATTGTAGTATTTTATAAAAAAATTTTGAATAAAATAATTAGATATTGTTTACATATACGACAAAATCTACGACTTGTAATTTGAGTCTGATTAAAGTCGTATATGTCCGGTTTACCATGTTTGACATCAGATGTTGTCTGATTTCAATTCAATAGAATGAATTATTTTAAAATTTTGAGCAACGATTTACTAATTCTTATTTTAATTATAATTTTCGCAAACAGTAATCAGACTTTATCGTAGTTTTAATTTTACATTTTGCTGAATATTATGTATAAATATAGTAAACTGCATTTAACTTTTCAACTTTATTATAAAACTTTACAAGTTGTAATTAAAACTATACTACTGACTAAGGCAACATGACATTAGATCTGCATTTTGTAAAGGCCCCAAGTTTTAAATTTTTTTTTTTATAAAATTCTTTGTCAAATATAAATACAAAATAAAAATACAATTAAGAAGAATTGCAACGGTAAGGCCGTAATATAAGAGTTAATCGAGAAGGTTAGAAATTTTTGAATAACTAAAAAAAAATAATTAAGACAGGACCGGCTATACACAATTTTATTGTATAATACTTATAATTGAATATTAGATTAAATTTTATAACACCTTGCTATATATACAAGATATTTTTCAAAATTTAATGAGAAACACAATAACTAGTTGGATGAAAGAAAATTTTATAAAATTATTCAAATGTTTTCTTTTAATTAACAATGTCAATACTAAAATTTATACAACAGAATTCTTATGCTATTTACATATGTACATACGTACACATAGAAATAATTGTTGGTTAATTTTAATTACAATGGCATAATTGATGTTTACACATGATTCTTTTTAGATTTTTGAAATTAATTATTTTTAATTTTATTTTAGAACTTAATGCATTTTTAATATTGAATATGAAATTTTGGATAATTAAAAATATTAAGCTTTAAATTTAATTTTATTTTTATTAGTTGCAAAATTCACTCATTTTTTATTATGCTTATTTAAAACCTGTGACAATTTATATTAGGTATTATTGATAAAATAATTATTGTTAAAAACTTCTGACTTTTTTTATCTCAATTAATAATTCAAAAAGAAAATAGTAGATATTTCGAACTTTGTACCATATATATATAAAGTGAAAGTGCAAGTAATTACTAACCTCTTAAAAGTTTTAACATGATATTTTAATTGTAAAAGTACTAAATATTAAGGTTGTTATGAAGGAATAAATATTTAATACTGAAATTATTTTTCCATAAATTATTTGCTATATAGAAAATTTAACATTTTGAAATGATAAAAATCGATTGAGTGTTTTTTATTTTCTTTTAAAAGTTCAAAATTATCTAATTTTTGATTTTTATCGGGTAAAAATACCTTCATATATACAATAATAAAAAAACAAATTGCTTTTTCCGATATTGTGTTTTTTAATTGAACGGTTTGATTTGATAAGAGAAAACATAATTTTAAATACTTTAAGTACAGGTTATTTTGATATCTTTTTGCAAATAAATAGATAAAAAATAATCATTATAATAAAAATATCTTCTTGAATTCTTAAAGCAAAGAGAGGGTATCATATAACAATTTAGAAAAATTTAAAATTTAATATTATAACATTAATATTGTAAAATTTATTTAACACAGGAATGCATGTGCTTGAAACTATTATAGTACTAAAGTATAATAATATTATAGATTTGTATTTCGCAACAGTTACAC